ATGTGTGTGTGTGTGTTTGTGTATTTTTGCGTTTGTGTATATTGTGTTTGTTTCCCGGGGAAAACACTCACGAGAAACACCGGCTGTTGTTATGCTTGCTGTGACGTTAAGTTACTCCGTTCTCCGCTTGTAAATATGCCGTTACAAGCTTCATAGTTGTATTTATCATCTAAATTTGCCGAAACAAGTTTAATATTCTGAAAGCCAAGACTTTGTTTAATTGAAATCAGATGAAAACAAACTGTAACGGTCCCTGCCGTGTTATCTATGATTACTATATGCCTTACATTCATAATTTCAGCCGGAGGGAGGGGGAGCTGCGCTACGGAACAGCAGATTGCGATTGAGAGGTGCCTGTCATCTTCCCTTTACAAGCTTCACAAATGTATTTATCGTGTGATTTTGGAAATAAAAGTTTCATATTCTGAAAGCCAAGACTTTGTTTATTTAAAATCAAACAAAACACCCGAACCCCGAAAAAATAGTTTTTTCCGCAAATCCACGTTTATTTTGAAATGAGCCGTTGCGACTTCCGACTGATTTCGATAGAGCCGGTCACATATATATATATATACATGTATAAAGGGTTACGTCCTTAGCTGGCTAATAAGCTACATAACAAGCTAAGCTAACAAGCACACAAACACCTGCTAACGGGGTTAACATGTATAATATTATCATTTTAGACTTCTTGGAAGTTCTGTTAGTACATTTCAAGCGGCACAGCACGACATTTTAATTGTCTGGTATTTGTAACAATATTCCCTAAAGGCACAATCACCACGAACACGGCTAAAGGGTCAAGTACAGTAACTACAACTAACTAACGTTGTAGCCTAGCAGAGTGGACAAGTTGCTGTTAGCTGACAGTGAGGCACGTACCTGTCCATCAAAGTGACCACGCCCTCATTTATGCAAAAACTTTAAGACCTAATATAAATAAAAGGGTCGTGTTAGAAAACAATTCACTCACAGATTCATAATCATGAAGGTGGAATCTAACTATATCCATAATAATATTTATTGCATCCATGGGTAGAAACATGTTTTTTTATGCTGTAAAATTGGGCATCTATGGAAATTGCTCCTTTCTGCAGTCAGCGCCTATCGGCCAATATATGAACTGCAGTTTGTGGCACTTCCGTATTGGCGTCCCGGCTCTTCCCCAGAGTTTGCCGCTTGGTTTGTTAGTGAATCATAAGGAATTTGTAAAACTTGTTTAGTTTGTTTGTGGAGTTATGGCAGGAAATTAGCTCCATAATCAAAGGTCATTTTATCAGTATATGCAAAAAATGGTCCCCATGTCTTCTTAAAACTAGCAGACGACCCTCTCAGCGTACATCTAATTCTTTCCATATTAACAAAGAAAAATATATCTCTAATCCAGTCCTGATGGGCAGGTGAAGCTGGGGATTTCCACTTGAGTAGAATCAAGCTACAAAGTTCTTCTTATAATTTGGCATTGCAGCGGGCCTGGCGCCACGAGGGGGCAAAAGGGGGCATTGCCCCCTCAGTTGTATTCTTTGCCCCCTCACTTTGAGCATCATTCATCCATCAAAAAGTACAATAAATGTCACAATTATTAAATAAGTTTAAATAATTATTTCCCCCAATACACCTTACTATGTTTAGATCAGATATGTGGGCAGGCAGTCAAGCAATGTGTTAGAAAGCCTCAACCCCAAGTGAGCTTGTAGTCTTAATTAATGTTTGAATGTGTGCTTAGCTGTAAACACAGTCGGATGGGTGACCAAAACGTCCCCGTTTTCGGTGGACGGTACCCGGTTGAAACTCCCGAAAATGTTCCCGTTTTTGAATGTGCGTTAAAAAACATAGAGCAAGGTGAAATAAAATGTTACATGTCAGTAAAAACAGAGTAACAGTGTTGTGCCTGTTTGTAGCGTTAGCATATTTCTTCTTCTACTACTTCTTCTTCTACCTCTTCTTCGTCTTCTTCTAATTCAATGTACCTGCCCACGAAATATTGAATAAAAGAAACTCGGCTAGTAGTGTCAACTAAATCCATAGTATTACAACAAAAGTGCTTTAAACGAGGTAAATTACGAATGTATGTTCTCAATCGCCAAGTGTGGGATTGAATATTAAATTAGTTTAGATTAGATTTATTGTCCCCAGGGGGAAATTCATGTTCACAGCACTGTGAAAACAATATGAAATCAACAAAAAATAAGACAGACAACTACAGATAGCACCACACATGATGGTTACTTGTTATTATTTAGGGCTGCCTGTATGGATCAGGTTTTTGCCAAAGCGAGCAGTTTTACTATAATAATAATATGTTATGTATTATATAAACCATATTGGTACAATGAGCGACATCTAGTGACGGATTTTGGAACATTGATTTGATTTTTCTCATGGCAGTTAGACTCTAGAGACAAACCAGGGGACTTTATTTTTATGTTTAATCTGTGTCTGTCCATTTGGTCTAGTGTTTGATCCAATATTACATTTGGTTTATATATTAGTCACTTTCTTATGAAATGCCAGGTTTTAGGCCTTGGTTTGAACATTCAATCCTGAAAATAAAAAATCAACCAGATTAATTTTGATTTAATCCTGACATGACTAGAGTAGATAGTAAGTAAGTAAACCTGTATAGGAAGACGAGTTAAGGGATAAAGGAGAAATATGGGCTCAGAACAATCTCATAATACACACATGCACACATAAGGATTCACACTTGTATTTCATGATCCGCAAAAGGATTCACACTTGTATTTCCGGATCCACACTTGTGTTTGTCAATGCACACACAAATGTGTTCCGTTTCATATACATGTAAATAAAATCCAAATACAGAAAAAAGTTTTACATATGTATTTTTGATCCTCACATATTTGTTTTCCGTTTAAAACCGCTGCACCTGCAAACACAACCCGCTTTCTGTGCATGGATCGCTGTGCATTCGTGTGTGGGTTTTTTGAGACTCCCCTGACGGTGACCCGATTCGTACTTGTAATTTTTTCTATCTATAGCCAATCAGATGTCTCCTCAATTCTAAGCCAATCACATGAGCGCGCCCCCACGAGGGTAGATTTCTTGCGTTCATGACGTAGCGCTTCATGTACGCATTTTGCGCGGTCCGGAGCTGACAGGTCCATGAAGCCTGCCTGCAGGCGCTAATCTCAGGACACTTCCACTCTCAGTACATTGCCACTTTCCGAGCAGGAAATGCACGCAAATACAAGCCTTTATATTATTAAGGTACAGCGCCACTTTCCGAACCATTAATGAATGCTTGTGTACATAAAAACGGCAGGCAAAACCGTTTTAAATGTGTGTTTCCTGTATGGCGAATACAGCTGCTTTATTTATGTCTGTATGAAGTTGTTGTGAGTGTGGAGGGAGCAGCTACAGGTTAGCTTAGCCTAATCGATCAGTGCACTACGAAGCCAGTGCTAGACAGTGAACTGTCAACGGGGGGGAGCCCCGCCGGTCATTATCGGCCAATATTCACTCTTAATAGTTTGATCGGTGCTCTCTATAAAGACCGATCAGGAGAGCTGGATCTGATCGATATGGATACGCGAGTGAAGTTTTAGCGAGCTGCATGAGAAACTGACGGGCTGTCAGGAGAGAGGGAGGGAGAGAGGAAAAGAGATGATCCTTACTCCCGTGTTATTAGCCATATCCGGTTATAGTCCGGTAATTACCTGCTAACGGATACTCTGCTACACAATTCTTCTTCTTCTTATTATTATTATTGAAACATGACCGGTAAGTTTCAAATTTGTCCGGTAAAATAAATTCTGTCCGTGGAAACCCTGCTCCGGACAGCGCAAAATGCGTATATGAAGTGTCATGAAGTGAACGCAATAAATCATACCCTCGTGGGGACGCGCTCATGTGATTGGCTTAGAATGAAGGAGACATCTGATTGGCTATAGATAGAAAAAATTACAAGTACGAATCGGGTGACCGTCAGGGGAGTCTCAAAAAACCCACACACGAATGCACAGCGATCCATGCACAGAAAGCGGTTTGTGTTTGCAGGTGCAGGGGATTTAAACGGAAAACAAATATGTGAGGATCAAAAATACATATGTAAAACTTTTTTCTGTATTTGGATTTTATTTACATGTATATGAAACGGAACACATTTGTGTGTGCATTAAAAAACACAAGTGTGGATCCGGAAATACAAGTGTGACTCCTTTTGCGGATCATGAAATACAAGTGTGAATCCTTCTGTGTGCATGTGTGTATTATGAGACTGTTCTGAGCCCATAGAGAAAAGGTTATGGTATAATTACAGAGCCTGTCAATTTATAAATTGAGGAAATCAATGTTAGTCTGTTAACCAAAGTGCAGCCATCTAATAATGTACTATTATTAAAGATCAGAGGAAAAGAACAGAATGAGGGGTAAATCCAGAATAAAAATAAAGAAGCAAAGAGATTGAAGAGCAGTGAGAAGGAAAAAAGCTTGGTGTGTCAATTAATTACATTGCCAGTATTTTTCGTTGTTGTGAAAACAAAATCGCCCCTTTTTCAACAGCCCCCTCAGTCATTTCATCCTGGAGCCGGGCCTGGTGTGTCCTGTAGGCTACTATGAAACTAAATTGCTGACAAGCAATCCAATCAATTAAAGCATTTGTAACTTAAAGCACGATGCTTCTTTATTCCTTGTTTTCTACATGTTTCATGAACCGCTGGTAGTAGCCTACTGTCATTTAATCGTTTTCTCATTATTTGAGATTCTTCAAAGCAAATGGTAAATATTGTTCATTTCTACCCACTTATACAGTCTATGGGAGGAACCAGCAGCGTTCCCTCTCTGTAACTTTCTCTGTACGCTTTTCAGCATTTCACCAGAACCTACATTATAAACGTGTCCCATTTTCAAAATAAAAACAAACGTAGCGTGCTCCTGTATTCTCCACCCCTTTCACTATAGGCAGCAGCAGCAGTCTCCTGTTTCCACCAATCAGCGCCTGTCTGCAGTAAACATCCCGCCCTCTGTTCTCTGTTTGTACTTGGAACATTTTGTCTGAGGGTGAACTAGTCCCTACAGCTGGACACTGTACTAGCTTTGTCACTACCAACAGCAAAAAAGCTCCACACTGTTGACAGGCTGGCGTTTAATCTCCACGAAAAACAAGCAGGCAGACGTGAGGACGTCTTACTTTATTAGTTTCCAGTTTAAGTAATGAAAGATAAACACGTCCTCCCTTCATGCTTACTTTCAACAAAAAAGAAGTTATGGATATTTGCGACGGGAAGAAGAGGAGACAGGTAAGCGGCGGTGTGCGGGGCTGCAGGCGGAGGGTGGCCGTGAAGATGAAGCGGGAGTTGGGGAAAGTCCTCCGCTCCTTACGGGTAGAGAACAACAACCGCACGGAGCCCATGGAGGAAGAAGAAGACGACGGCGACGACTGTTTCTCCATTAGCTTAATGCGGAATGACCGTCTGGAGCCCACCGTGGCGGTGTCTCCACGGTACAGCTTGCTACGGGAGGTCGGCCGGGGAAGCTACGGGGTGGTGTATGAGGCGATAGCCAGGAAAACAGGGGCCAGGGTGGCGGTGAAGAGGCTCCAATGCGACGCCCCGGAAAATGTAGAACTTGCTCTGGCCGAGTTCTGGGCTCTGACGAGCCTGGAGAACCGGCACCAGAATGTGGTGCAGCTGGAGGAGTGTGTCCTACAGAGGAAGGGCCTGGCCCAGAAGATGAGCCATGGGAACAAGCGGTCCAAACAGTACTTGCGTCTGGTGGAGACGTCACTCAAAGGTACAGGCTACTGTCTTGTTTACACCTTAGTCAGCAGAACAATGACACCAATACTAATGATCAAGGAATGCATGCATGAAAGGGAGAGCTAACGAAAGTGACCTCAAATGCATGCCTTTAAACTAATACAAAAAGCAATTTACAAGGGGAAAGTGATTTTGCAAGATTTAGCTCTAAATCCATTTTTTTGGAGATTTGCATTAAAGGCTCAGTTGTTCAGCTACAAATGGTTAAATGTATTTTAAGCCCATGTAAACACGAAAGATGGTGTTTGCAGAACTGTTTTCCTGTAAATCACACCAAACCAAATAGTATATTTCCTTTATGATTCAAGTTCACTGTGTTTCTATACGTTATCTATAGTAGGCTCAGAGAGTACACTGTGTTTCGCTCAGCTCACAAAAGAACACAGTGTACTACTTGGCAGCATGCTAACCCATTGCTTGTTGACTGGAAATGTGAACACTAAAACATGACCATTCAGTGTAATATGGGTTTTTATACTGAAATAATACACGTTTATGTTTTGACTGACACATTTTTATTGACTTATTGTTGTCATCAATCCAATTTGACCTACTTATCACTTCATCTGTTGTTGCTCAACTGGCCAAATAGAAATACATAGATATTGAATATATCTTTATAAAATATAAATGTAGCATTAAAATACTGCTGGCATCAAAATCCCCATTTTAAATGAATCAGTGTACTGCCTCTTTTGTTTTGAGAGCGTGCCTGCCTGTTATATAAGTGTCACCATTCAGGCTTTTGTGATGAAATATTAATCTTGAGTGGACATGTTTTGTAGCCACCAAGTGACTATGCCAGTATTTTAAGGTTATAGGAAACAATACAAAGGATTTTTTCTTAATGTAATGTGATGTAAAATGTAAAGCCAAGTAGTAAACAATCTGGGCAGGTCAGTATGGGGGAGCTGTTTTGACATACGTAAGCCAGAGGCCTGTAATACGAAGCCGGATTTTCGCTTAGCGAGCTAACTTCAGGGTAAACTCTGGGTTTCCGGTCCTACGACGCTGGTTCACTTCTTACCGGGCTAGATCTCCATGGTAACTTGTGCTGAACGGCTAACCTGCTCCGGAGCAGGTATGGTTCCAGGATAAGAACTCAGTGAAAGCACCGCCTGCTGACCAATCAGAGCTCCGTGTGCGGAGATTAAAGCTATCAAGTCATATTACAGGATAAAGGAAATACAGAAAAACTGCCGTTGCAGGAAAGACGGCCGGCAAAAATCAACTGACTGTGTGAACTTGAAAATTAATAGAATATCACCTCCCATCAGTGTTTCCGCCAGACCAGGGCTGAGAGGGCGTCCACCCCGAGAGCATGTGTGTGACGTCATCTTGTGTCACGTGACTTGAATTTTGAATTGAGCCGTTAGTGAGCCGGATCATTTGGCTCGGCTCACTAATGGCGCATTTCCACTGCAGGGCCTCGCACGGCTTAGTACGGTATAGTTAGGCCTTGGTAGGCCAGGCTCACTTTATACTGCGTTTCCATTACAGTTTAGGAACTGGGGTAGTAACTATAGTAATGCAGTGTAGGCGGAGCCATGACGTCATCTTCAATGCGAAACACAAAACCAACATCAGCCGTTAGCTGTTAGCCCTCAGAGCTCACAGCTCCTCATATCTGTTCAGAAACTAGACAAAAGTTAAACAAGTACACACCACAGACTGCCTGTGTCATGGCGAATACAGTCGCTGGTTTATTTATGTCTGTATAGGCCGTTGTTGTGAGTGTGGACGGTCGGAGCATATACTGCGTTAGCTTAGCCGATCTCCATTTAGAAAACACGCATTTTAAAAGGTTTTTCGCAGATTTGTCAAAGCATTAATTCATGGTTTTTACTAACCGGTATCAGTATGTTGTTACTTCGGCATCATTTTGAAACGTGTATTACAATTAAATCACGTTAAAATATGTTCATCTTGTTGTAGTTGCCAGCGATTCTCTCACTAGTTTAGCATACTCAGCCCGGTTGTTGGCCCGGAAAGAATCTCGATTTTGGAGAGCCAGAAAAACTGTGAAAAAGTACCCGCTAGCCGGAACTACGCCTAGTGGAAACGCAACCAAAAACAGGCCGGGCACGGCACGCTTAAACCGCGCTCCGCGCTGTAGTGGAAATGCGCCATAGGAAGAGCCGGCTCTTTCGGCTCCTATACGGCTCCTATACGGCTCTTCATTTTACCACAGTTTACCACAGAGCCTCAGTTACGCCGCTGCGAGGCTCCGGCGCTCGCAGTTCACGCGCGTGCTCCACTAGCACCCCCCGTCAAGGCTCGCCGGCAGTACACTTTCCGTCACAGGAACACGCTTTGCTGGCGGCGAAAATAATCCCACCAGACTCCTTTGCCCCTCCAACAGAGGGATGTCCTTGTCCTTTTTCGGCTCGGGTTCAGGGCGTTCCGAGCTGAATAAGGGCGTCAAATGACGGCAAGACGCCCCCCTGGCGGAAACGCTGCCTCCCATCTTCAGACCAATCTGACTTATATAACATTAGCGTTAAGTAGGGGTGTAACGGTTCACAAACATTTCGGTTCGGTACGTACCTCGGTTTTTAGGTCACAGTTCGGTACGTTTTCGGTACAGCAGAAAAAATGATAACCAGCGTCGTAGGACCGCTTAGCGAGAGCGCGTTTGTTTTGGATTAGGTAAGCCGGGTAACTCAAACATATCCAGGGTATGTTGAACTGGATTCGTAGTACAGGCCTCTGTTCACGTACCGTATTGCATACTGTATATTTGTATATAATGAAGCTGATCTTGCAGTGCGAATTCAGATTTATATGTGAGAAAATAACCAGTGTCTATTAGAGCCTGCTGTTTAAATAATCAGGACCAATACATCAGCTGATGCTAGCAAGTACAGATAGAGTGCTGTGGCTGATGAGCAACAACAAGGTGATTTCAAAACGTTATTTGTCATCCAAACCCTCACATTTGAATATTAGTATTTCACCTCAAAATCCATAAAGTTCCAAGAGTTGCACAGCTCTAGCAGGTACAAAGTAAATTGAAACAATTTTCATGTCAAATATTGTGTTGAAAAGGTAGTGAAAGTAGAACTGTATTTGTGCATACTAGATTTGTGTTTTGAATGAGTGTTATACACTGGTTCTGGCATGGATTACCACTAGTTTAAGTGTTAACAAAAGATGAAATGACAAAGTTTGACTGCTGTTATCTTACTAATCAGGTCTTATCTCTCCATCTTCAATCTGCTTGCTGCAGGAGAGCGCATCCTGGGCCACCCAGAGGAGCCATGCTATCTGTGGTTCGTCATGGAGTTCTGTGAGGGTGGGGACCTCAATCAGTACATCTTGTCCCGCCGGCCTGACCCCAGCACCAACAGGAGCTTTATGCGCCAGTTGACAAGCGCCGTAGCTTTCTTGCACAAGAACAACATTGTCCATCGTGATCTGAAGCCAGACAACATCCTCATCTCACAGAAGTCCGGTTCCCCCGTTCTCAAAGTGGCTGACTTTGGCCTCAGTAAAGTTTGTGCTGGCCTAAACTCCAAGAACTGTGAAGAGCATCCTGTAGCAGGAGCGGGCGGCAGAGTCAACAATCAGAACAACAACATCGTCAACATAAACAAGTTCTGGCTGTCGTCAGCTTGTGGCTCGGACTTCTACATGGCCCCCGAGGTGTGGGAGGGCCACTACACAGCAAAGGCTGATATCTTCGCCCTCGGCATCATTATCTGGGCGATGATCGAGCGGATCACCTTCATCGACGCAGACTCCAAGCGTGAACTGTTGGGTACATACATACGGCAGGGAACAGAGATTGTACCGGTCGGGGAGGCTCTGTTGGAGAACCCCAAGATGGTTCTCCACATCCCTCAGAAGGCCAGGAGCTCCATGTCTGAAGGGGTGAAGAAACTCCTCCAGGACATGCTTGCAGTCAACCCTCAGGACAGACCAGACGCCTTCCAGCTGGAGGTGCGGATGGACCAAGTCACGTGTGCTGCATGACAGCATTTCCAAAACCTCTCCTTTTTTTACCCATACCAAACAAAGAAGGGACCCCCTTCCTTCCCAGGTAAGCTTGACTTCCTTGATAACTTATTTATCAATGCTAGCTTAAGGTTAGTTGTGTGCAACTAAAAACTGCAGGTCTTGGCTCAAGACAAATTAATGGAGAAGGAAACACAACTGTCTATTGAGCTATTGTTAAATAAATGATAGTCAAGTTTTAAGACTGTGAGATTGGTTTACCTAATAATAACTTAAGCTATACAGATGTCTCAATTTAAGTCGATGGAAAAAAACTATTTTTTGGCATCAAGTGACTGACACAGCAGTAGTAGTACCACGGTTTGGCCACTACAACCATTTGATTCAATGTCCGGCGCACTTCCTAAAGGCTTGTAATACCACTTATTCCTCTAGAGGTGAAAGTGAGGCACTGTACTGCCGGAAGAAGAAGTATAGCAGCCCCAACTCGAGCGCATTTAAGGTATTGTCAATATTAATGGCAGTAGAGCGTGCTGCGCCTGCGAGACGGACAAAGCCTCCATTAGAAGTTAGCATTTAGCACACCTTTTGCCAGCTCTGTGGCAATAGTCCTGGGAGACCTAATGTTTTTTCTCAAACTCAAACACGGTCATTCCCTCAACTCTGCCATCCCGGTCCCGACAAACTATCAAAGCCCCCAGTGGCACAGTAAACACACAGATGGCTAACGCAGAAATCTATAGACGGCTACACATACTATTTTTTAAATAGCAAATGGCATATTTAAAGGATATTTGTTACAATTTGCACAACTTATTTCAATCATCTTCCTAAGTTCTGTGTGTTTTCATACTGATTGTAATGAACAGAAAACTTAAAATTAGATCCAACTACCATATAATAACTATCCACTATCCCAACCACAACACATGAGACAACGTGTTGGCCTGTTTTCTTCACTTCAAATATAGTTCCTAAGCTTGACTGCTGCTCCTGAGTTCTGACAAAGTGTCCCACGTCACTGTAGAGGACACAGGATTAGGTATCTACTGCACAGTGCACAGACCAGATCTACTGATAAGGTTAACTAGATGACTGACGCTACTAGGGTTGTTGTAGGGAGCTTAAAGGACCGTGTAGATGAATTTGAAAGGTGAAGAAGTGCCATCTAAGGGCACAGATCTCAGATTTGCATGTGTAACCAAGAGGTAACACCCTTGGCCTGAGGGCAAAGAGACTGGCTTTAAATAAAACACAGTCAGGCTGTGTGTGTGTGGGTTTGTGTATTTGAGAAACATTGTGAGAGTTAAGATAAAAACAATTAGTTATTTGGAAGCATAAAGGTTTTTCTGGTTCACATCTGAGAATGATGTGCATGAAAAGACTGGACATGCTTCAATTAAAATACCAATTGTTACACAAGGTATTATTCATTCTTATTGCTGTGGATTGTGAAAGATTGCAACTTCTCCTTTGCACTGCTTCTGTTTTTTCCAGAGTGTAGGCAATAGGAATTAGAGAAACACATCTCTGTTTGCCTGACATTTACTCAACAAGGGCTGAAACTGCCTTCCAAAAAGCAGTTGATAAAGCTGTTACAGCTGTTAGCTGTGTGCAGGTTAAATTAGAGTATTTAACGATCCTACTCTTAAATGACTTATGCTTACTCATCATATCATAAAATCGAGCATATTTCTTACATTATTATTATCTGTCTTAAAGAGGCCCCATTATGCTAATTGGGTTTTCCCTCTCCTGTAGTGTGTTCTATAGGTTTTTGTGCATGTAAATGGTCTGCAAAGGCTACAATCCCTGTGTTCCCTCCAGAGGGAGTTTCTCTCCCACACACTCCCCGTCCTTGCCTGAAACGCCTCCATTGGACTACTTTGTTTACTTCTGTAACAATAGGACATCACTATGTAACACTTGCCTCCTATTGGCTAGCGTTCCAACATATTGTACGTGATAGGCTCAGGGGTGGGACATCTCTAAGCGGTTGACCAATCACAACAGAGCTGGCCAGCTAACCAATCAAAGCAGACTGGGCTCTGGTTTCAGACAGAGGTGCTGCAGCACAGGCAGTATGAGAAAAATAAAGAGCTTTTTGAGACATGTCACAGTAGAGACACTAAATACTAATATGAAGCAAAACAAAAAAAGCATAGGGCCCCTTTAATCACATTATTGCTTTATTTTTGTTGTGCTTTTGAACATAGGTTTTATAAGGGATTTTTGACTTGCCTGAGTAATCTGAGTTCCGGAAGTATTTTTCCTCTGAAGATTAATTAGAGCATACTAAAGTTATAGTTGTATGGGTAGTAATACATGTGTCTGTTCTTAGAGAACCACATTGTCAATCTCTGACTTCTGCCACTGACTGAACAACGTCATACTGTATATTTAGGGCTGGGCGATATGGCAAAAAAAAACAATACAGGTCATTTCATATCACTTTCTATTATTGATCTATTGCTGTTTAATGACTTGAACCTTCGGTCTGTTTGTTTGTCTGTCGACATTTGACAATTAGCTTTCCCATCCTCTCATTCTCTGTTAACCCCCCATCCTGTGACGGGACAGCTCTGGGCTGTCAGCAGGATGGGCTGAGAGTGTTGTTGCATGCTAGGCCTCTGCTGCAGATTGGCCCCACTCCCCCGCTGCACGATGAGATGGCATGTTACGCAACAGGCCCGAGCTGCTCCAACTGGAACTGTCATCTGGTGGAGAGAGGGATTAGTGGCTGTAAACAGCAGAGAGGAGGTGGGGTGGAAGTTATGTATTTATGTCAGGAGCTGGTTAACTGAGGGGACGGCTAACGAAAGCACAGTGACGATACTGACAGCACTGATGGGATTAAACTGTCCTAATCTCTGAGGGAACGACATGTAGGGCGCACATTGTTTCATTAGTCCGTGTGGAGATGGATAGCATTATCATTATATAACATCACCATTAACCTATTCACTTATCCACTAAACTGACTGCTTTTACTGGCCTATTCACCCACAGTGCACACAGTGCTCCTGTTTTATGCAAGAATATATATAAATAGCATTTGGAAGTGTGTGCAGAAAATACTAAATATGTAATGAGTTTGAGGATTGGAGATCCCTTTAAGATGTAACCATATGTGTATATGTTTCATTTTTGTGTGACAGCCCCCTGCCCATCAATCTCTGTCCATACCCTCCTTCATCTCCTCTGCTACACAATGACAGAGCTGCTCCTGTGTCAGGGCTTCTGGATGCTCGGTCTGGAACATTTTGTCCTCTTGCTGCCTTCAAGCTGTGGGCCGACTCTGAAGTGGGCCAGAGCTCTGTAAACCCTGGCCCCATGTGTACACACCTCACTTTGGGAATTGATTTTGATGTTATTGACAGCATAAGCAGGATTTTTACAAGTTGAGGCATTTTCAGGGTGTTGTCCTTGCACTGCACGCATGAATGCCTCCAGACACTTTAATAAAGATACTCATGCCCTGAAGCAGGGGGTGAATACTCTTAGCATGTGTCTTCAATATTATATATATATATATATAATATAAGCATAGGGTTAGGGTTACATTTCAAGCAAAGGCAGTAGGGTCCAAGAGAATGCTGATGTTGCTCCTCTAAAGGAAATGAAGTTGTTTGTACAGAACGCTAGGTTCTGTGTTGGCTCAGTCAGCGGGGAGTATTAGGGAGGGGTTGGGAAATGCCAGAGAGAGGCCACCTTTTATGGGACTTTTGGAATGGGTTTGATGAGTGCATTGGCTTTCTTACACAACATGGTTGTAAAAGTAAGCATTCAGTGGGTGAGAACATTTAAAGAGGCAAACACATTCATGATAGCTAACACGTTTTTTTCAGCAGGATAATCTCCACATATTAGCACCACTTTGTGATTTTTTTAAGCGTAGATGCAATCAGCAGAAGTAAAAAGCTAACGCTAGGCTACAAAGGAGCTGCATAACAGTCGAATAGCTGCGCATCACCATCGCTTAGCTGTAGGCGGTCTGATGATGTTTTGTAGTCTCTTTTGGTCACTTTAAGACACTTTGAAGCTACGGACATTGATGACCGGGGTATTTACTGACGTTTTTCATGTTTTAGAACAAATACGTTAAAGCTCTTCAGCTTATTTCAGCCTTATAACCACAAACACTTTCGAAAAAACGTTGACTTTGAGAAAAGGTTATTTCTGGGTTTTAGTACTCATTTCTTCACCATTCTACACAGTCCAGAATCACTGTCCTCCCACAGTGCTCTGGAACACAGAGCCACATCTCTTCCACTCCGCTGCCCCCATTCATGGTGGCTTTGGTGGATCTAATAGGCTGTAAGCTCTTAACACCATGTTAATCCCCTTGCAGTCTGCGTACCATCTATTGAAGCCGCGTCGCTCATGCAGGTGCTGTACGCGTTCATATTTTGGATTCTCGTCGGTCCACTGCTGTGTTGACAGTTCCTTTTGTTTGAATGGTTCTACCAAAGCTGACAGGGTTCATTAATAATAGATGGATAAAGATGTGGTCTGCATCTGTTGCAGGAAGCAGAGATTAGTCTCCTCCCTCTGATATTACTTTGGGATTTATGAATTTGCTCTGTCACTGTTATCGACTGATCGATCTGCCCTGGGACAGAATGAGAACATAAGAATTTCAATATGGAAGGATTAACCAAAGGACAAATGTTGGAACAAACAATGAAACAAACCATTAACTGCTTGTTTACAGTTTCAGTTATTGTTTTTGAAACTGTACAGATTTGATCATTATCTTGCACTTTGTCTGCTGGGAAAGCATTGTCAGTTTTTAATCTAAAAGCAATTGTAGGCCCACACTTAAACTTACGTAAGGAACCGTTTTTGTGAATGCCAGCAGAGTAGAATGTGTTGCTATGCATGCCACATGACCACAACATGTTAACACTCCCTCTCAAACTGGTTATCAATCAGAGCTGCCCCAGTGTCCTGTGCTCTCTAAGAAACCAGCAAACCACTTTCCCAAAGAAGCCACTTTCTGATGAATTTCACTCGGGTTAGTCTGCTTTTGTGTTATACAATAACAGGATCTGACTGAAAGTAATACATGAAATGTCTTTCATGTGTTCAATATTTCCTTAAACTTCCCTGGAAAGCTTAATCAATGTAACTATGAAACTATAGGAAATATCCTGGAAAATATTTTCTAAATGTAGATTTTACCTCTTATTTTTAATACTTTTTATTTATCGGATTATTACATTAAACAGATGCACTTTATTCAGAATATAAACTTATATTTTCACATACAGTATAAGCAAATCACAACAAAGAAACAAGAACAAACTGAAATACAAAATGAAAGAAAAATAAATACTAATTTAGATCAAAGTTTCCAGATAATAGTGGCTTGCTTTCTGTTTAATACCAGCTTATACTTTTAAAAAAGCTGTAAAAGCAGTAAACAAATAGTTGTTCCGCCTTCAACACGCCTCCATCTTTGCTGATATAGGCGAGCTGCTCACAGTCTGTGTAATTTGCAGTCAGTGTTGAGTCCCGTGGAGGCATGTTCAGAGTTCAGAAAGTTCACACACAGGTATAACTTGTCCTCACAGCTGTTCTCGGGAAAACAAAACTGCGTGAGTTGAAGCCACGCCCAGTGAGTACTGACAGACCCCTCAGGGCATCATGAACTCTTCGGAATGTCTTTCAAAACGTGTCTTAAAGAACAGATATCAGTCTGAGTGTGATGGTAGAGGAAGGAAAACAGGGTTGAGGGTTGATCCATTTGCGTTTGAAAAAGAGATGAACAAAGGAGATTAAATCACTATCCAGTGGCCTTTGTCAACCCCTGGAGCAGAAAAACAGATCGATAGCACGACAGGCTTTTAGCATGACACGATACTTTATGACCTGACAGCACTGCAGAAACATCTGAAAGGAACATATACTGTAGGGTGAACCCTGGGACGCATTGCAAAGCTGAGTGCTGTTTTCATTCTCAATATTTGAATTATTTTCTATACGGGGTGCTTTTTATTCAATATCCCCATATTCTACATTATCTTCCCCAGTATTCTACCTTGAAAAAATGTGCTCATCCTCAGCGGTGACATAAGCACTTTCCATGCCTCCATTCTGCACGTCATCCCCGACACGCGTGCTGGCTAAGCTGACCCACTTGTGTTTATACCATGTGCTGTGAGCTTTTGTATCATAAGAGGACAGAAAACAAACTGCTGCACGCTGAGGCATGTTGGCCGCTGGGCTATTATTAGAGCACAGCGCTGAACTAACCCTAGATACATATACAGAAAGTAATACCAACACATACATTATTAATCCCACTAGGGGACCTCTGCTCCAGTACAGTGCAAGCACATGCAAACCTATACACATCAGACCTATTTTATGTATTTTAAAGAGAGGTTTCAAAGCAAAGGGGGTTGCCATTTTCATGCAAGTACAACTAAGTCGAACCAGTGACCATCCAATTCACAAGCAAAGTCTCCCTGGCCTGAGCTACTGTCACCCCCAATACACCCAGTTGTCAGCTGGGGGTGTCCTTTGGATGCAGGCAGAGAGAACTCCATTATCAACCAGTGTGGCTTTATTGAGGTATCAATGTCAATGTCTATCAAGATGCATAAAGCATAACTATATAAATGTTGTATACAAAAAACAGTATTTTCTCTTACAATTACTGTAGGTCTGTTGGAGCTGGTTGTTGATTTGTTTATAATGAGATCTAATACATAATCTCAATAATTACTCGACGCTCAGGACCACTGCTGAGGAGGATGCTGGCTCTGACTAGGGACTATATGCAGTCATATCAATCCGCAGAAAGAAGTCCGGTAAAATTAACGTCAGCGATGGCCAGAGGTGTGGACTCGAGTCACATGACTTGGACTCGAGTCAGACTCGAGTTACCAATTTGATGACTTTGGACTCGACTTGACAAAATCACAAAACACTTGCGACTCGACTTGGACTTGAACACCAATGACTCGGGACTTGACTTGGACTTGAGCCTTCTGACTTGAGGTGACTTGATAATTTAATTCAGGGGTCTCCAACACGCCGATCGCGAGATGCCGCTAGAAGAGCAGACTCCCGTCGGGGAGAGCAGAATCTCCAGCCGCTGCAACTCTTGCTGAGAATCCATGCAGGCAGGGGCGGGACTTTATTTTGCTGAGCCACCATGCGGCCAATCATATGCGAGGACACACTAGGATCATACCATTATGTGAAAGAAGGGTGGGGGGCAGACGCTCCAAAGACAGCAGGTGTAGTGGTACAGGCCAGCTACACAGAGCGACGGGGAGAAGGGGAGCCGGATTTAAATGCAAGCGCGTCGGAAAAAGTCAAGAAATGAGCGAAAACCGAAAAAAGAAGCAGCATCTGGCTGCATTTCAATGATATTGGAGAAAGCAAAGCTGAGTGCAGGATTTGTAAAATGAAAATAACCTTCAGAGCAGGGTTTTTTTTTGGTAACCACTCAGGAGTTATTGTCAGAGGTGGGAGAAGTTCAGATCTTGTACTTGAGTAAAAGTACCAGAGTGTAGGAATACTCGGTTACAATAAAATATCCTGCATTCAAAATGTTACAAGTAAAAGTACAAAAGTATTAGCATCAAAATATAGTTAAAGTACCACCTGCAGAGGGATCTAGATTCAGGTGTTCTTTTCCCCATAGAGACGCCTCGCTGCACATTATCCCTTGCATAAAGATAGATTGTGGGTCCCTTATAACATGTTGTACACAGTGGAAATAAACATTCTGGTCACCTCAACATCAGGGATCTTATACATTAAACTCCTTCTGAATCAAACCGTCACGGTAGCCTTACCTTACTGATCCCTCTTACAATAGAAGACAAACACGTTACTTTACCAGCAGAGAGAAAATGGATTATTAAATGATTAATGTGACTAATAAAGAGCAGTTTGATTATTAAGTATTATTCTGTTGATCGATGTCATTACATTTGTTGAAAAGCACATAATGACTTGTTTAAGACTCGTTTTGCCAAAGTTTAGGACTTGGACTTGACTTGAACTTTCCCATCCTGACTTGAGACTTGACTCGGACTTGAGCGCAAAGACTTGAGACTTGACTCGGACTTGAGCGCAAAGACTTGAGACTTGACTCGGACTTGAGCGCAAAGACTTGAGACTTGACTCGGACTTGCAAAACAATGACTTGGTCCCACCTCTGGCGATGGCCAAAAAAAGCGAATTAGATTGACTTTATCAGAAAAAACAAGGAATACTTATAATATTTATTTTTATGTTTGTGCAGAGTACAAATCTCTGTATTCATGATTGCTAAACGGAAAAAGAGCGCAATAAAAGGAAAGGTCAGGACAGGAAGCAAGGATTGAGTGAGGAAATGTTAAAGGAGAGGTGTCATGGCCACTGATCATAATTCCATTGTTGAGGTATACTAGAATAGATTTATATTGTGCATTTTTCCAAACTCACATTGGTTTCTCATACAGCATCTCTGTAAACTACGTGTATTCACTGAATTTCACTCTCTGCCTTTAACGGCTCGTTGTAGCTCCAATAGCTCCAGCCCCCCCCCTCCCTGTGAGCACAGTGCGCTCTGATTGGTCGGGACGTTGTGAATCGTGCTGAGCTCCGTGGAGGTGTTGTTTCCTTGTTAGCGATACATAGCCAAACACAGCCAAACTCATCCTGAGCACACACAAAGTCACAGCCGAAGTAAAAACAATAAGTGTGGCTTGATATTGAGTAAGAAAAAGGTTGATAAACTCTGAGAGAATGGGTCTGCAGAGAGAATTTGGCCGCGATCCCAACTGTCTGTTATCAGCCTGCAGCCAGGGAGGAGAAATCAGCAGAGCTGCCTGTGTGTGAGGAAGTCCGTGGATTGGTCAATTTGGACCAATCAGCGGGGGCTTAACGTAACGGCTCCGCCAACGTAACGTAACGGCTCCACGGATTGGTCCATTTCGTTCTGGGTATGGCATGACATAATGCCATACCCGGAAGAATCAAATGGGCAGTGACGTATCTCCAACGAGGCGTTTTGGGGAGGTCTTTTCTGTGTTAGAGTTTTACTCGCTACAGGGTGTACTTTGAGGGTTTTGACTCTGCAGACCCTTTACATGCATAAAAACCTTCATAACACACAAGGGGACGGGTAATAACCGGAAAAGCATGACACCTCTCCTTTAATAATACCCATAGATTCATTTAACACATCTAATTTCAGGAAATAAAAAAATGATGGTGAGATGAATAGTGTAATAAAATAGCCAAGGCCCTTTTATAAAATGTTTTCAAAACCTAGTGGACTGATGGAATTGAAGCCTAACTTGTAATTTTCTCGCTCCATGCTGACTCTTTTAACGTTGTGTCTCTGCAGATTCGTTTACTACATGGACGTGGACTCCAATGGAAAAAGGAAAACTGAAATGTGAAGACAACAATCATGATCTGAGTGGAAAGTGATGGACTGGCTAATGATTCCAAATCTGTCTGTTTTCAAAACCAGACACTAAGACTTCCAGCCCCATCCAGTTACAATCACTTTCACCATGGAGCTGTCTAACAGCTGGATAGTGACTGAGCGGATGTGACAACCAGGTTTATGATATTTGTTGTTTTATATTTTATTCCCGCCCCAGTATAGGTCTGCTCCTCTCTTACATTTAGAATGTGCTTGGCTGTGGCACAGGTAAAGTACTGGAGTCCTAAGTTCAAAGCGTCATTTTACCCTATAAGTGTGGTATAAGGATAATTTCTTGTGCCTTAAAAATCCCAAACAAGTGCGATTGGAACATGAAATAAAAGGATTTTGTTTGTTACAGTGGAAGTTTTGCACACCAAGACAACAAAAATGCATGCAGGTGTCTTTCTGCAGACATGTGCAATTGACCAATGGAATTTGTTTGCCTTCAATGATGTCACCTTTTCTAAACAATTGTATTGGCTGCAATAATTTTAAGTGTGAATGTGATCATTTGGCGGCCCTCCTCTTCTCAAAAGCAAGTGCAGCCTTGATGTTGAAGCTAAAATATACAGAACTTTAACTAAATCATCAAAGTGTTCGTGTCAAAATCACAGACACGCTAATGCAAACAAGACTTACAAAATGATTTCACAATTCTGTGCCAGAGGTAGCAGGCCTGCGTACAACTCTGTGCTATTGAAACCAAACTATGTGCAGCAGGGAATCCCGATTGGTTTTTATGTTCCTGTTGAATCCAAAGAGCAGCTGTTGGACAAATTGCTAACATCTGTTTATCATAACTGCAAACATGTGAACATATTTTCCTAATTTACAGTCATAACAATCATTATCATTTCATGAGCTTATGACTGTATGGTAACTTTGTACTGAATGTCTTTTACATTTACTTTTAACACAGCTAGTGAATCAGTAATCACCTGGTATTCAGCGAGCTCTGTTCTCCATCCTGAGGGTGTGACGTGTTGGATGAGTGTGATGTGAATACAGGGCGCTCTACAGAGCAGTATTGAGACATGTGGCTGAATCTTTCATGAGGGATTTGGAGGCTCTCGCAGGAAATTTGAAGATTTGCCATCTGGAAATAATCCCCCAAAGCAGTCAGGGGATTGTAACTGTCCCCATCTTACATCCCCTCTTCACTGAAGTGCTTTGCTGTGGCACGTAGTTACAGTTATTTGATGGTTGCAACCGGTGTTGTAAGAAAGACGTGATTTAATTCAAACAATCATGAACCCTGGCGTTAAACAACAATGTAAAGCCACATGACTGATCCGCAGGTGACAGGAAGCAAGAAGGATTCCCAGGAAGATTGAATGATGCAAAACTATAACAGGAGCGGGAAAGCTTCCAATGATTGAAGCATACACAACGCTGTGCTAGGAATCACTTAACCCTTTGCTTCGTAGCTCTGCATACCATCTGGTTTCCTTCAGTGACTCAGCAGTAGTAGTACATTTTAAGGTGTTTTGTTGTGTGGCCCTACCTCATTCTCAGCACTTTGAAACATCTTACCTTTACAGTCTTATTACCTTTGTCTTAGATACGGGGATCTTCTCTGTGTGCTGTTTTGCTTAGCTAACACCTAGCTTTCCCTTTACGACGGCTACATCTGCAGCACCTGCTATCTTCTTTCCTAATGGTTGGATTACAGGGATTAGTCCACCATTTTGCTGTTAGCATTCAACAACTGCACCTCCCATAAGGCTATATTAGTACTAGAGGTGTACTGGAGGCGCATGTGCATTGAGAAAGTGATAAGTGGTTTTAGCTTTTAATCACACTCAAAGAAGTGAAGAAAACTGATGTAGCCTTGTGGCTGTGTTTGTTTAAGACTGAGATGCATCAATTTGGAGCACCTTGGGTGGTGTAGTTAGAATAAAACACACAACATAAGAGGATGCACATTTTTAATGTTTAGTAGATTCCTCAAATTTTAAAAACTGACCTTTAAATTAGATCTTATCTTAAGATCATGGTAGGACCCATGACCTTGAATAGACTGGCTATCAGGTGGTGTAGCGGTTGAATGCTAACACAAAACGTGTTAAAACATTAAGATATTCCGTTTTTGGAAAGAGATTTTCTCTTTCCAAAACTCTTCGAGATGTCTTATCTCTGAATTGCTCTGCAGTGTTCATTATACATGTTTATTTAATCATCTAACTCCACATTTATTTTACATGGCATTGCTGTCAGTGCATATTCTTTAAGAGCAGTTTCAGTGAGCTCTTCGACAAATGTTTCCACTTAAACTACACTATGCAAAATGTTTCACTGCCTCACTGTAAACACCGTACAGAGCCACACAGTTCTCAAACAATTGTGTGTAATATCTTCAACCTTTTTCTCTATTAATGCATATTTCCAGTGTGTACAGAAATGTTTGTTGTGGTAAATAAGAAATGTTTTTGTTAATAAAGCTGATACGAGCCATTCGATGTTTTGACAAAGCATCTTTTTTTTGCTGTAAATATGTTTGACAACTTTTCTTGGAATAAACGATCAAAACAATTCCTATGTGTGTGAGTTTTTTATATCAGAAAAACAGCAGGAAAGGACTTTTTAAAGTAGAGGCACTACTGAAGACTCAGGCTCATGATATACACTCGACAATGAGCAGAATAGGACCCCAACCCTTGTGTGGTGTTCGGGTCAAATTGACCCGATTTCCATTTTCAATGAATAAAAAAAAATATAAGGATATTTTCGTTCAACCTGAAACTCAATGGCCGGGACTTATTTATTGTGATGGACATGTGGAATTGTTTTAATTTTTTTCCGCTTATGAAAAAATGCCCACCCGCATTTATGTCCTTCATAAGAGGTTCGGGTCAATCTGACCCGGATACAATACCAGGACAGACAGAAAAACACACAGAAACACACAAATTAAAGACACGCACGCACGCACGCACGCTAATAATGGATGAGAGTGAGTGGAATGCATTAGAAGAACACGGTGAAGTGGAACAAGAAGAGATTTCTGAAGATGAGGATAATGTGGAGGTAAACTCAGAATTTGACAGCGAATTGGAAGATGAACTTGACTCAGAGCCAGCTGCTGGAAGACTCCCACAGCCAGCTGCTGGAAGACTCCAAGACACAGACTACATGCAGCAACTGCAACAAGTACATCTGTGCTATACACACGAAGAAGTTCTGTACATCATGTGTTTCCTAAACGGACTTGCCCATTGACTCACATGATGTTCTGCAGCGTCACTTTATCAATATATTTTTCGGATATACTGTATTTTATGAATAGTGACTGTTAATTGTTTTTATTTGCTTTGTGTTTATATCTGTTCTCTGTCATTTATATGGATGTTTCATCATCTCTATATATTTCACATCCAAATACTTTTGGATGTGTGGTTCTTGTGTTTCAATTGCTGTTAAATTGCTTTATTTCCTTCAGGGCTTTGATTAGTATATGACAGATTAAAAATAATAAACATTAATGAAATAATGTTTCATTTACATTTGTCCTAGAAAAGCATGAGCAAAATGTAAACTTAGTTTTTATTACAGTGTATTTTTTTTAACATAAATTACATTTTTATCACAAAAAACGATGGACACTTCCATTGTTAAATTTGATCTAGCAAAGAGTATTTTCCAAAACTAATCATATATTTCATTTATATTGTTGGGGAATGAGTTAAAGACAATATATATAAGGAATTGTGCATGTTGAATTTAGTTCTGTATTTTTTTTAAACCCTGAAATATGTCCCGGGTAGTGGAGTAAAAGTACACTCGACCTGTGAATTGTAGTTGAGTAGAAGTACTAAGAAATTGTACAAGTCCCTCAAAATGTTACTTAAGTACAGTACTAGAATAGGTGTACTACTGGTAATCATGCACTTTAACATTTAGAGTAAACAAATTAAAGATACTGTGTCATGGGGGCTGCTGCTCGTTCGTTCAAAACAACCAAACAATATATATGTACACTGTTTACACTATGAGGCCATCTGTGGGGCATTTGTAACCCGGCTTTATCCAGTAATCACATATTTGCTGGAAGGAGTATTATTCCACTCCAGGATTATAAAAGAGCTGTCACCCAAAAATTGAGTTTTAACTTTATTGTTTTATTCTTTACCGAGAGATTTTCATAACGCACACATTTATGTGGAACCTTTTGACATAATATATTTATTTAAAGTCAACGTTTAATTTTTCCAGTGTGTGACCAGCATTAGGAGTCTGTGTATGTCTTTTACTGTCTGGATTACTCTCTCCCTCCCCAGGAAGAGCAGCAGCTGCAGTGGTAGCAGCTGATAGGTTCACACATAAAGAATAACAGAGCATGGATCCTGCTGGCTCAGAGAAAGAGGAATAATAAGTGAGTATGGATCTATAAACACATCTTCAGGAGATGCTGCCACAGCCTGGTCAGAAACAAAGCTCTGCACAGTGTGATAAGTCTGCTGGACTAATTGGCATGTTTAGATTAATGACGGCTGGGGGACAAAGGGAGACCCCAGTGATACTTCCCAGAGAACGCCCTCACACAAAGCCTTACACACACACACACACACACAGCAGACAACAATATGTCAGTGTTCTGTGCTCTTTATGTTCAGAACACGGTGTACTAAGAGCGGAGGGGGGAGGGCGGCAGGGGCAGCTATAGGCAGAGAAATGGAGCTAAGAGGCAGGAGGTGGGGGTGGGGAGACGCCGTTGCATCAGGGAAGATAGAAACAGCTGTGACATGAGCAGAAGGCAGCCAATAGGAGCGCATGAATTATTTGAATCCCAGACAAGACAAATTAGATTTGAAGAATCAAGAGTGTATTATTTATGTGTACTTGTTCTATTATTTAAAAGTGCAATTAACATCATTTTCTTGTTGTCGTATTTTTGCAAATAAAAGCTGTCGTAAAAATTATTAAGAAGCAACATTTTGTATTTTTCTTGGTTGTTTTTTAAAATATGATTTGCCTCAACTTTCAGCAAAAATATAATACTATAATAATAATAATAATAAAAAAATAGAATATTTAAAAATATGTTATAACATTGCCCACACATCCACAAAATATTGGATATATGTTAAACCCAATTTTATCAGTGATAGTTTGCACAATGAATAACATTTAAGATGAATTCTGTAAAAAATACACTGTTTATTTGTTTTAAAGACCCCAAAAAATGATTCTGTAGCCTTCCCTCTGAGCAGACAGTATACTGTACATTCACTTAAATGTTAAATAACATGAGCTGCAGTGTGAGGAAATGATGGTGGTGGTGGTGTGTAAGGCCTGCTGCCAGAGAACAACATGTTCCTGAACATATAGAACATGAGGGCGGGGCTCAACACCACACACACACACACACACACACACACACACACACACACACACACACACACACACACACACACACACACACACACACACACACACACACGGACAGAGAGAGCATTGATATGTGTGTCTTTGGGTTCAGTAAACAGTCCCTCCGACATGTGTTAATGCGCTTTAGCTATGCAATCCTCTCTGCCAACTGGTCGTGATCTCCCTTTCACAATAAAAGCCTTAGATGCATACATTGCATCACAGCCTACCAGAGAGCATTTAAAAAAGGACAGTTTACCAACATCTCTGAGAGTAACTATACCCTGGTAGAGTCAAGGAAAATCTACCTGGCAATATTGCATTGTTGACAGTAGAGGCAAAGAGGAAGGACAAAAATAGTTGTTTCTATGAATCTAAAAAACAAAAGCTGCCTAAATATCAACATTATCATGGTATTTACTCCTTAATGGTTTTTATCATAGCACGAAGCATTAGTTCTTTAGAATTCTTCTGGTTGTTCCTTGCTGACTCAATCATATGACATTGAGGAAAGTAAATAAATGAATTTATTAATCATGAATTATACATTTACTGTTTTTGAAATGATAGATTGTTTTGGACTGTGCCAAGGTTTACGCGTATTATTGTTTACAACAGAGATGTGTATGGTGGCCGACAGGGGCAAACACGAGCTGCACTTAAAAAAATGTTAAAAAAAACACCACAAATGTGCCAAAACACATGCTAATGAAGAAACATCATCACCAATTTAGTTTGGAAACAAATGCAGTGTGGAAAGAGATCCGACAGCAGTACAGACAATAATAACACTTAAAACACTGGGGAGAAAAGTTTGTCTTGAAAGAAACAGAACATTATTCTGCCTTTTCACAACAGGCCTGGTGCCGCTCTTTCACCCTCCCCGTTCACTCCAGTCACATTTAAAGCTGGCTACACACCAACCCGATTTTGGGAGTCAGAGGCCGTCAGAGGCAGTCGGGCATTCGCGGCGCCCTACTCAGGTTGGTGTGTCCTGCACCGTCGTCTCTTTACGGCACCTTTTCACACCTCCCGCGAGAGGTCAGAGAAAGTCGGCCCAAGCAATCACTCTGATTGGCTGTTCACACTACCGCTGCCTGCTGGTAAGGACAGTTATTGCCACTTGTCGACTGAAGTATTTGCGGTGTGTTCGTAGGCGGGCGGCGTAGCCGACGCAGGCGACGTAGCTGACGTAAAAGTCGGGACGCCTTCGGTACACGTTCTTTGGTCTCAGGTGGGTGTGTAGCGGCCTTACAGCTTGAGAGCCCGCCTTCGCAATTCAAATTGGCAAATTACGTCATCTCTCGGGAATGAGAGACACACAGAGGAATAAACGTTGTTTTAAGCAGTTAACAATATCTCGAAGGCCTCCATTAATTCTTAACTTCATTTACAAAAATACTGCACCGTCATAAAAATAGATGAATCATATGTCTCAGGGTATTTAACTTATTCCGCTTCCAATAAGTCATGCATCACTTGACACTCTGTCTGTGTTCTCCCTCTCATCTGGATGAGGCTCCTTCTTTCAGATGGAGGGTGTAGATACAAGCAAACTTTGAAGGGGTCCATTTGAAATTGGGCCGATGGTTATGGTGATGGCTTTTTATGATTTGGTCTTTAAAACATATTTTAAAAGTTTGCTGAAATCAGTCAACCAGTCCAACAAGTAAAGTCCGAGTCACCCAATGAGTGTCCGAGTCGAGTCCGAGTCATCATTACCTGTGTTCAAGTCCAAGTCCGAGTCACCCAAGAAGAGTACAAGTCAAGTCCGAGTCACAAGTCGTCTTGTATTAATCTTAGTGGATATATTTGTTGAAATGTTGCTGTAGCTCCTCTACATTGCTTTTATCCTGTCATTTTATACTGATTTGTCTATTGAACTGCTGTGAAGCCAGTTTGGCTACATTTTTTGAATAAAAGGTGCTATACAAATATAAACCTTATTACTAATATTCATATTATTATTTAATAATTTAATAAATATTCTATCACAATGTCCAACAGCCAACAAGTGAACGTTTAAATTATATCAATAAAGATTAAGCCCCAGAAAGCACATGGCTACTTACAGTAGCATGCTAAATGAAATTCTGCATGTTAAGTAGCCATGTGCTTTTGTGTTATCGGCTGAATCTTTATTTATTGATTTGATCACATTACTC